TTTTTCAAACATTTTCTTCCAGCTTCTGGTTTGCCTTTTTGCTTTCATAAAAGTATTCTTCAGATGAACAGAAGTTCTTAATTTTAATGTAGTCAATTTTCTCAATACTTTCCTTTATGGTTTTGCTTTCTTAGGTGTTTGATGTAGCAAAACCACTTCTTACACTGAGGTCATAAAGATATTCTTCTATGGTGTCTTCTAAATTTTATAGTTTTACTTTTTGCATCTGAGTAGTCAATCTACCTGGAGTGAACTTTTGGGTACATACTGAAATGGGGGTTGCAATTTCACCATGTCTCCTTCACTGAAACATTTCTCAACTCACCTAGAGTGTTGTCACTAATCCAATTTTCATATGTGTGAGGGGCTGCTTCTGGGCTCCTTCACCAACTTGTTTCTTCTTTTGCTTCAGAGACTAAATTTCTACAGCTTAATAATAAATCTCTCTCTTCTAAGGCATGTTACATGTTATGGTTATTTCTGGTACACTGTTCTTTCCTACAGATTTTAGTGATAGCTTACCAATTTCTATTTTTAAATTCTTTAGAATTATTTTTACTGGAATTGCATTGAATGTATAACTCAACTTAGAGAGAACTGACTCAAACAACCGAGTCTTCTGATCCATGAACAAGGTTTCTTTACCCTTTCATATAAATTTTCTTTAATATTATTTCAATAAAATTTCTTTTTTTCCATAAGGGTCTTGCTTATGTTTTGTTAGACAAGGTTTTGCCTTTTACTAAAGTAATTAATAATTTATAAATTATATTTTCTCTCTGTAGACACATTGTAATAGATGCTATATGTTATATTAATTATGTGTAGAGCAAATTTGCTAAAATCTTATAATATTTCTAATAATTGATCTATAGGTATATTTGAGATTTTCCAAACAGATGACCATATCGCCTGCAACAGTTTTATTTTTTCCTTTCCAATTTATTTATTTTACTTCTTCTTCTTGCCTTCCAGTATGATGTCAAATGCAAGTAGTGACTGATTTTCAAATATTAAACCATACTTGCATTATTGGCTAAACTCAACTTGGCCATAATATCTCTTTTATATGTTCTTGGATATGATTTGCCAATATTTTATTTCGGTTTTTTTGGCATTGTCTTTATGAATAGGATGGGCCTATAAGTCTTCTTTGTCATCAATATTTGGTTTTGGTACCACGGTTATCCCTCATTACCCAATACATCTCACACTCTCAAGGTTTTACTGCATTCCTGGTATCAGAGTTGTACTACTTTCAATTTTGTCTTCTGGAATACGTTATATACAACTGGAGATTTTTTTTCCTGTTTGGTATAATTGATAAAATAACCGGGACCTTATCTTTCTTTCCTTCCTTCTTTTTTTCTCCCACCCTTCTCACTTCCTCCTGGGCCCCTCCTTTGGCTCTTGGTCTCTCATGGTGATTTTGTTCCCTGTGAGTTTTGTACTTTGAAATGGTAAGCTCACTTTTCTTGAAACTTTAACTTTTAAGCTTTGATTGAAGATGAATGGCTTTCAGCACCTGGGCGGTGTAGTCAGTTAAGTGTCCAACTCTTGGTTTTGGCTCAGGTTGTGATTTCAGAGTCATGAGATTGAGCCCCCCCGTTGGGCTCAGTGTGAAGTCTGCTTGGGTTTTTCCTCTACCTCTTTTTCTGCCCCTCCCCCTGCTTGCTCTCTCTCTCTCTAAAATAAATAAATCTTTAAAAAAAAAAAAAAAGATGAAAGCCTCAAGAAAGGACATGCTTTTTTTTTCTCCTGAAAGGTAGCATAAATTCAGGCTGCTGTGATCACAATGTCTCAGAAAAAATTTTTTCTTCCCTTCCACCCAGCAACAAGGTTTGACATTGGCAGTTTCTCATGCAGTCCTTGGAGTGGAAGATTAGATTTATTTTCATCTTGTAGAGAAGTGTAGCCCGTGAGACTCCAGCTTTATGATGGAGTTCTCCAATTCGACATCCCACTCTGGCTGGGCCCTGGGCTTTGTCTACTGCAACTCAAAGCAACACCAATTACAGTCTCATCATAATATACAGAACACTTAGGATAAATATAACATTATGAAAGTGAAAGAAGTCAGACATTAAAAAGTATGTACTTCATGGTTCTGTTCAAATGACATTCTAGAATTGACAAAATTAATCTATAGTGTCAGAAAATAGATTCAATGGTTTGATTTGGGCTGAGTAACTGCAAAGTTCTGTAAGGAACCTATTTGAGCTAATGAAAATGTTCAGTATCTTAACTGTGGTGGTGGTTATTCATGAAACTGTCTACCCACATGAATTATTGTATATAACTTATCCCTCATTATTGTTAACTTTAATATCTGAAAGATGGATATATAATGATAAAAAAAATCAAGTTATCCACTTAAGATCTACATATTTTACTCTATGTCAATTTTATGTCAATAAAATGATTTTTTTTTAAGCCCCTTTGAGGACTGGAATTCCAGAAATCCATTAAGAGTTTTTACCACTACCCTGACTAGCATCAATATAAATTTAAAATAAATGGAATCCTTCTCAGACCCACTAAGTCTCCATAATAAGGCCGCTTTAGAACACTGGGGTCTTTGGTCAGGGTCACCATTTAGTTCTTATTGCTGATGAAAATGTATTCCTATGACTGATGGCTACTGGGCAGAAGATGACTATCTATGCAATATTGATCTTGACATCACTTAGGACACTTCAACTATTCTGTTGCTATTGCATGCTTTTTCAGTTATGACTAAAAAGAAATCATGTCAACGTGAGTCACCAAATTCCTACTTCTAAGATCCAAAGGTTTTCAAGGACTGAAATATGTATATTCATTTTTTCCTGGTTTTACATGCAGACAATTTTGGTGCACTGTGGTAGAGATAGGGTCTTCTTGAAAATTCTTGTTCTCTCAAAATAATTAAAATGTGGAAGGAAAAGCCCATGGAAAGGTGTGTGAAATCCCAAAGTGCCAAAGGACGAGTCCAGATTATTTGTCAGTCATTATCTCCAATCTCTAGTCTTGCCAGGTCTGACATTCCTTTTACCCACGTACTCTGTGCCACACTTCCCTCACTATCTCAGGTTATGTTTCTAACTAAATTTTATTCTTATTTAACTCTACTCTCCAATTTTTATCTTAGCATCCTTTGAGTGATTCAATTCAGTTCAATTTCTTAGCTTCCTCACATCTGCCCAGTGCTGTGCTCACGGTGGTGTGTATTAAAAATCAACCAGCTATTGAAACCCGTCACTGAAGAGATTATAAGCTAGTGGGGGATATTTATGGGTACATGATGATAGAGAGATATACACACAATACTATTATTGACTCATACAGAAAAGAGTCCCCAGCTCACTGAGAAAGTCCGAGGCTTTGTAGAAAAGACACATGAAACCTAAACTGAGCCCTGAAAGTGAACGGGATTTGAGGGCACACAAGGGTGACCAATAATGGGTTCAGGGAATGGCATTCCAGGAAGAGAAGACCAAAGGAGCAAAGGCATGGGGAAGACACAGGATCCCTGTGGCCCACTGGAAAGTAAGGTTGATAAGGTCCATCTCTCACAGGGCCTTTTTGCATTTTATAACTTTTTGGTAAAAAATTATATTCAACTTAGAAAATGCTCTTAAAGTTGGGAAAATGCTGACATTTGTGTTTATTTCTGTAACATCTCTCAAACTCTTCAAACTCTGTTATCCATCATTGTAATATAGAATTGTTCTATAGTCCTAGATGTCTAGGATGTACAAAGTCTATACTTTCAGAGGAATTTAATGGTATAGCAGAATTTCATAGAGTTTATTTAGTATTTTATATTTCACTCATGATTAAATATTATCACAATGTGGTAGTTGGAAAGAAAATAACATGAAAACATATTCAAATCACTTGCATTATGATAAACAATGTAAAGAAAATGAGCTACAAAAAGATGACATTATTTAGGCAAAGGTTTCTATTCTAACTTCTATCTTCCCTTGATACTATCCATCTTCCTGTCTGTGCCCAATATCATAAATAATAATGTTTTCACATACAAAGAATATTTCTAAAGAGGGTCCTTCAAGTATAGGAGGATGTCTACCACCAGGGGATAGTGTGTGTGTGTGTGTGTGTGTGTGTGTGTGTGTGTGTACATGTACCATGCCTAGGCTAGATCAAGCATGGATACACAGTCTTCAACTAAATGTTTTCCAAACATCTTATGAATCCGGGTTTCAATGACAATGACCAGTACTGTAGATTTTGGGATCACAAACTAAAGGATGTAGTTAAATTTAATGATTTTAAAGATCCAGTCAAATTGGAATCTATATATATATAGACTATATAACAACTATAAACAAGTTGTTAAAAAGGTTTTGTATTTCTCCTATTCTTCAGGCTCCTCTCATCACCATAATCCAATCTCCATTTTAAATATACTTGATTTCCATTTTTAAGCTCCTCTATTTCTGTTACTGGCAGCTAAAGATAGTGAGAATTATTTTATTATTTGAAGTGTAATAGTTTTTTAGACATTTTGCTATGTCTACCATATAAATCACGTAAATAAGTAGTAGTATAATTTAAAGATATGGGTATTTAGTTTTTTGAAAAATGAAGAACTTTGTATCAAAAGATTCTTTTCTAAAAAAACCCACCGGGTTTAAAAACAATGTGTACACTGTATTGTATATACATCATACAGCCTTGTTGTGTATCTTTTTCTTCCCCTTTAATATGAATCACAAAATATTTAAAGTGTTAAGGGTTAACAACATCCATGGTTAAACATTAGGCAGTGAGTACAACTTGCAGAACCTGCACCTATAATATGTGCTATATTTCAGAATTAAATACTATTTTCAAATGATAATTTTTCCAACTATTATTCAACACACAAAACACACGGCTCTAGAGAAGTTCTTTGAGCACAGAGCTAGTTAATAAGACACACAGAATATTTAATTTCACACATGAAGCAGAAAGGTGCAGATAAGCATTATTTTCCACCAAAAAAAACAAACCTTAAGGAAATAGTTGTTATTGTTATTGCTGTTGCCAGACACTCCTTGCAATTCAGCCACAGTGCTCTAAAATGGTTGACAACACAAATTAAAGAAGGCTTTTGCCCATTAAAGAGAGCAGCCTAATGATAAAGGGTAGAAAAAACACTGAAGTTCCAGTGCCTACTAGAACACACACGTTTGAGAACTGAGAGAATGCCTCCCACTCTTAGTTTCTCAACATTATGAAGAGTATAAAGTCAATTCACATTATTAAAAGGCCATCCATAATAATTGCAATCTCTTGTTCACAACACAAGCTGTTTCCAACCAGGAACAGCAAACAGCATGAGTCAAATTTAATGTTATCCCTTTAATGCTTTTTGCCTAAAAATTATATTCTTATAAACCATTTAACGCTTATGCAAACCATAGCTCCATTATATTTCTGACTCTAATTATTACATGTTAACACGAGCAATAAAAATGCATATCCAGGTAGGTAGCTGCTCTAAATATTCAATACCTTAAAAGATTCTAAAAGCTAATATTCTCATGATATAGTTATAATTATATTAATTTCCAGTAATGAAAAAAATTATGAAAGTGAACTTAAATTATTTCTTAAGAGAACGGGCTTCAGTCTCTAGAGTGATGATTAACCTTGTTATAAACTATTACCTGAAGAGACTTTGATATACCATCTATAATCTGAGGCTTTAAAATGTAATAATTATCATATTTTAAAAGCATATTTAAAGAAGCAAACCAAAATAATCCTATAATTTCAAAGTGCATGTAAAATAGTTTATTTTAATGTGAACGACCATATGCATTTTCTAATTCAAAAAAGTGGTACAGCACCAAGTCATACTTCATTTCTAGTGTGAGCCCACTGTATTTCACATTGCATAATGATCTTGGATAGAAACATATACCCCACAATTTACATACATGACCCATGCTACACAAAACATATGCCAGAATTACAACATCCCACCACTAAAAGGCTAAACATTGATAGTTGTGGAGTATGACAGATTACATTTGTTACTGAAAATTAAAATCTAGTTGAAAAATTTACCATACCCCCAGAATTTCGTGGGATAGTGCTGACTGTGTGAGGGGCTTACTGAAATCCTCCATCGTTACCTTCCAGATTGTTTAAAAAAAGAAAGAAAAAAAGAAAGAAAAAGAAATGAACAATAATTCTATTATCCAGAGATGCAATCGCTAATTACAGATATATTCAGATCTCCATCTTAAATGTTTCAACTGCTCAGATTTAATCTTTTTCTTCTTTACAGGATCCTTCCCCTCATTCTTCAGCCTTTGGGCAGAGCCCTTTTAACTTTTTTTTTTTTTTTTTAAATCACAATGTTTAACAGAGAGTAAACAGAAATAGGAATGTAAATTAAAATTGATTTGGCTGTTTGCTTATTGTAAACTCCTCTAGTTTAAATATTTGGGGGGGAAGCCAGGAAGTGTAGAAATTTAAATAGAGTCTGGGGATTATCTATAGATCTTAAAATCTATTGGAGTACAACTTATAATGTCCTAAAGCATTAAAACAGCTACATGTAAGCACACACAATACATAATAAGGTATTCTAATGCCTAAATATGGTTTTGATAGAGAACTACTGTACTTTTACAATTTCAGGATATATTTCTCAACATTGCAACGTTTTCCCCATGGGCAATTCAAGCAAGCAACTCCCCTCTATCAATGTGACAAGTTCCAAGTTAGAATCAACCTTGGATGATTTGACCAAAACCAGAAGCTATAATGCTGATCTAAGCACTGGCTCTGGAAATTAGTTGGATGAACTTAGTTGTTCTGCATTTAATCAGAGGTTTTCCTAGGGGCCCAGGGAATGTCATAGAGGATATTGTGAAATAAAAATGCTTCTAACTTTGAAATCACAAGATGATTCCATAAATGATAAGAAAAGTGAGAAGCCAAGTGATTGATTACACAATTCAGGATTAACAAAGATACATAAATCAATACATTGTTGAATTACATATAAAATTAACTCAGTTATTCAAGGATCATTTACCCATTGGATAACCAATGGTTATTGGTGCTTCTCACCTCCATTATGTCTCTTGGACATTTTACTTTTCATTAACAGAGAGAAAGAGAGTAGATAAAAAATAGGGACATACCACTCAAATTGATTTAACAATATTTGGTAGCATTAGTGAAAAAATGAATTTAAATCAAGTAAATAAAGTGTTTATACAAGAGTGAATTTTCATTATTTGTACAGCTTTCATCTCTTCTATGCACAGAATATTAACAGTTGGTTTTAACTGAGCATGTTTTGGCAACACACAAGAAAGGGAGAGAAATACAAGTCAGAGAGGAGCATGAGAGAGAAACAAAGAAAAAGGTTCCTTGACCTTTTCAGTAAAGTGAAGGTTACATGGAATAACATAGTAGTGAGCATCTGATTTCTATTTCTTGATTTCTATTTCTACAACTTGAAGACAGAAAAAAAGTTTAACCTAAAGCTAAACTTGAATTAAAAAAAAATCATATACTCAATTATTCTTCCCTTTAAGCCCTATCTTCATAGGATACTTACAGATTATTTGCCTAGAATAAAATAATTCTCCAAGTATTTAATTCCCCTATTACTAGAAACACTGAATAAAGAATCACAGAACCTAAGTATTACAAGAAACTCCATCACCTAACACAGAATCCTCTTTCCAACATCTCGTCACCCAGTTATTCTGTGGGTACCTGAACAAAGACAGACCCATTAGTCCACTCCATTCAAAAACAGCAATATGTTGTAAAGAGTCCCAACCTTGGAGATACGAAGACCCTATTCCCATCATAAATCTGCCAACTACTAGCTATATGGCTAGAAAAAGGCTCGTTTGTGTCATTTCCAGAAAAAAAAATCTTTTCTGTGTGCTGTAAAGATTACATGAAATCATGTAGGGAAATGCACCTTGCCAAGTGCCAGGCACTGAATATTTATTTACCTTTCTTAGTCCTGAAAATATCTGCTCAGGTGACAATCAACTTTGCTTTCCTCATAAAAACTAAGCAAACAAACAAACAAAAAATCCATATGATGTGCTCCTAAGGATAAAAGCCGAGTAACAAATGTTCATTTTGCATTGACTCAAATTACTAAATTAGAATCTTACATCAAACAAACAAACAAACAAAAAGCTTTAGGGGCTTGAGTTGAAAACTTTTGGAACTGAATGTGATCAATTCCTCAAAATAACTGGAAGAAGTATGTAGTGTGTAGCAGGTGATCTAAAATTTTCACTTGGAGAGCTTTAAAGAACTGTCTTATTTTCCCTCTTTCCTTGCTAGACTTGATGTTTTATTTCACACACTCACAGAATATTAAAAGCTAGAAAGAGTGCAGAAATTCAGCCCAATCTCTTAAAGCCAAAGACACTGAGGGCCACAGACTGGGAAAGCTTGGCCTCCTCGCCTTCCTCCACTTGATGTCACCCGAACTCCCCCGAATCTCACATCCAAATTCTTTCTAGCAGAGCCAGCAGGTAAAAACCAAATCTGCAGAGAATGATTCTACAGTCCTAAAAACAGGCTTGCAGCCAAAGCAAATCAGTGTCTCTGATAAAACACAAAACACTAGCACAGAGAACTGAAGACTAAGATGAACATTTAAATATTTGAGGAAATTGTTTTTAATTTCTAAATCCAAGGTAACATTTACATACATTGTATCTCAGTATAATAAAAAAAAACCTTGCCATTTCAAATGGACTCTGCAAGTAAAAAATTAAATCAACTAAACAGAATTCTAAGAGACAAATTCATTCATGTGAAGACTTTGTAATGTTTATTCTCTGATCCAAAGTTAACTGATGCACCATTTTTAATTGTTTACTATAATAAATGGAGAACAAACTACATTATAAACTACCAACACACATAAAATTAAGATACATTTGGGTTAAAACATTCCAGACTAAAAATACATGAAAATATTTCAATGTCTATTTATTAATCTTCACTATGTCCTGGCTAGAGTCCAAAAAAAAGCTCTGGAAAAAGAATATATTCAGATGAGTAGAGGTTGAACATATGAAGCTGCACTGTCCTTATATCAGCTGGTATAAATAATATACGTTTTACCTGAATATTTACTATGTTTATGGAGTATAAAATACTCTGATTAAATTATTGATAGGTCTTCTGACATGCCAATATGAAACACATGCGTGTTTAAACATGTTTATAATAAAGCATGTTGTCCCATTATATCAACGTACATTTGGCATCTACATTAGAAATAGACCAGCATCTGTATTACATTACAACACACAAGGATTCCAGAGAGCCATTTTCACTTGGGGGTTAGCTTCTATTCATTTACTTGATCTTCTACAGAGAGTAGGATGCAAAATTATTCCAATATGTATCTACTCTATGGAATATGTGCTGGTGGAAAAGCTTTGTTCTGCATTATGTTAGCACAAATCACAGTGAGCAGATCCAAAGAACGTTTTTCTCCTGGAAAAAAAGAAACCTGAAAACACCCAGCAATTTTTAGTACTTTTCTGTGTGTGTTTGTGTAAGTATGTGTGCATTTTTTCAATCAAAATGTTTATTGATTTTTTTTCAAAAAGCATTACAAACTTACTGTAGAAAACTGGGGGAGAAATCGAAAAAATATAAAGCAGGGAGAGAAAATCACCAAATTCCAACAATAAAGACAGCTACTATTCACATGTTGGTGTTTTTACTCTTTTTTGTTTCCGTGAATTTCTTTTAATAGTTCAGTAAAACATGACTTATTTGATCCCAAAGTCTTCAGGCTATAAACAGGATACCATTACTTGATTCATAAGTTAATAACAGATGTAAGTAATATTTCTCTTCTGTGAGGTTTAATGTAGACACGCTCTCCATGAGAAACTGCAAAGAACCTATCATACTTTTACATGGTAAAGAGAGTTTTGTAAAGTAGAATGTGGTGGGGAGAAAGGTAGGAAGGACGTTTTCACGCGCTACTTACCTCATCATCGTCGGCGTCATACTGGGCGTAGTGCTGCTCGAGCAGCTCTCTCTGGCGCCTTTCTTGTTCCAGCGTCTGGCTTATCAACTGGGCAACCTCACTCACTTGTCCTGGCTTTTCTCGCCCAATAACAAATCTGTAGGAAGGTGAAAGGAGACTAATATAGTTGGATTCTCCAGCAAAAAGGAATGCTAAAAAAAAAAAAAGCACTGAGCTTGATAGCTCATCACAGTCCATCAAGCCTCAAGAAATTAATATCACATATATACTCTAAATGGTATGCCTGTGTGGAAGGGGAGGTTAGCTGAGCAACTGAACAGGTGATTGTAGACATACCCTAAAGGAAAAGAAAGGGGAAAAATAAAAAGGACAATAAAAAATGGGGTGTATGGGTGGCTCAGTCAGTTAAGCATCTGACTCTTGATTTCCGCTCAGGTCATGATCTCAGGGTCCTGAGATCAGCCCTGCCTCCGGTGGGTGCTGGGTGTGGAACCTGCTGAAGATTCTCTCCCCCTTTCCTTCTGCCACCCCCGACCCCCCCAACCCCTGCTTGCATACTGTTCTCACTAAAAAAAAAAAAAAAAAAATTATTACTTTGGGAGAAGACAAAAGAGATGTAATCCATTCTACAGTACTTCACACATTTTTATTGCCCTACAAAGTGGAGGCAAACTCATAATTTCTTGTACAATTGAACTTGAGAATCATTTCCATAATACTGTCCTTTTTACAATGCAAACTCTGCTTCAAAAACATTCTGAGGAATAGCATGCCTCAGGTGGGTAAATAAAGAGGTATTAACTTCTGCTAAGTTACTATGACTTTGGAGATAAGAAGAAGAAGAGGAAACAAATACACATTTTGGTTTTGTTGTTAAAAAGAAAAACTAAAATAAGGAGAGGTCATGAATTTGAAAATTCAGTTTTGAAGAAAGACGCTATGAGGAAAGGTGTGGTTACAAGAAATAAAGGGACAAAGGGAAATATATGTTTATATCAATTACTGTAAGAAAAAAAGTATAAAGTAAAAACAAGGGAAGGCACTCACTTATTGCAAGCTGCAGTCACTTATGATACAACCTCATCAATACTATGTGTCTTGCTTAACAAATTAATACTCATTTAACATCTTTTCACACTAATATATAGTTCTATTTTTCTAAAAATATGAGTTCACATGATTTAGTTTCTATATATCATTTAATTTCATTATTTTGGATGTGACTGTTTAATCGTCTTTCTATACTTAACTGATGTTTTCCTCTGATTATAGTATGTTGCTGTATTGGATCATAAGTTTAAATGAAATATACCACTGTATTGTACAAATGCACTAAAAGTCAAAATTTTTATACTCAGATGCTAGTAATTGTCTTTATAGCAATATTTTTATATAGTTCCAAACAGGACTTTGAAATTATGCTTGGGTGTTCATTTATCATTTGAGTTATTTTCCTTTGGGAATCAAGTATAAGTAGAGTTTATAAATTCTATAATTTTCATCCTTATTCAGGTATAATTTACACATAATAAAGTACATCTCTTTTAAATGTACAGTTGGTAAGTTTCACAAACATAACCTGTAATCGCCACATCAATAAAGATACACATTTCCATCAACCTAAAATATACCATTTTCCTTTCTAGTAAATCATCCTCACCCTGGGCCCATATTAGATGTGTTTTTTCTAGAGTTTCAGAATCAGAGTGTCCATGCTGATGCAAGTATCAGTAATTCATTCCTTTTTATTACTGAATAGTATTTCATTGTACCAGATGTAGTACATTTGGTTTAGCTATTCTTCTATTCTGAGTTGGATTTTGGATATTATGAGCAAAGTTACTATAAACATTTGTGTGCAAGTTGTTGTGGGGGCATAAATTTTCACTTCTCTTAGACAAATAACTAATAGTGGAATTGATGTTCTACAGTAGTGGATGTTCAACTTTTAAAGAAATCGCCAAATTATTTTTCAAAGTGGTGGTACCATTTTATATTCCTACCAGCAATGCAGGAAAATTACAGTTGCTTTACATCCTAACCAACACGTGGTACTGTCTTTTAAAATTTTAGCCATTCTACTGAATAGCTAATGGTACCTTATAATGGTTTTAATTTCCAATGCTTTGATGACCAATGCCATTAAATATCTTTTCATGCACTTACTGAGCATTCATATATCTTTTTCAATGAAATACCTTTTCAGGGGCACCTGGGTGGCTCAGTTGGTTAAGCGACTGCCTTCGGCTCAGGTCATGATCCTGGAGTCCCGGGATCGAGTCCCGCATCGGGCTCCCAGCTCAGCAGGGAGTCTGCTTCTCCCTCTGACCCTCCTCCCTCTCATGCTCTCTGTCTCTCATTCTCTCTCTCTCAAATAAATAAATAAAATCTTTAAAAAAAAAAAAAAAGAAATACCTTTTCAAATATTTTGCCAATTTAAAAAAACTGGGTTGTCCAGCTTTTTATTATTGAGTTGTAATAGTTCTTTATATATTCTGGATGCATATCTTCATATATGTATACTCTATGTAATAAATACACATAGATACATACACACATACAAAGACTGTCTGTGTATCTCTGATTTATTTATTTTCCTCTCCCAGTCTGTGGTTTACCTCTTAATTTTTTTTTTTTAATTTTTTAAAAAAGACTTTATTTATTTGTCAAAGAGAGAGAGAGAGCAAAAGCAGGGGGAGCGGGAGGCAGGGGAAGAAGCAGGCTCCCCACTGAGCAAGAAGCCTGATGCGGAACTCGATCCCAGGACCCTGGGATCAAGACCTGAGCTGAAGGCAGACGCTTAATGGACTGAGCCACCCAGGCACCCCTACCTCCTAATTTTCTTAATTGTGTCTTTCAAGGAAGTCCAATTTATACCTTTTTAAAAAGATTTGTGCCTTTTTTTCCTATCTAAGAAATCTTTGCCCCATTTAAGATTGCTAAGATTTCTCCTATTTTTCTTCTTGAAGTGTTAATGTTTTGATTTTATATTAGGTCTATATCTTTCAAATTAATTTTCATGCATGATGTTTGGTAAGGGTGGAGTTTCATTATTTTTCCACATGGATAACTAGTTGTTTCCACACCATTTACTGAAAAGACTATTCATTACTGCCACTGAATTACTTGAGCACATTTGTTGAAAATCAATTGACTAGATACTTGTGGGCTGATTTTTGGACTTTTCCAATCTCTTTGATGTATTTATCCTTGTATGAATACCACACTGCCTTGATTACTATATAATCACTCTTGAAACTAGGTGGTATGAATTTTCCAACTCTGTGTATCTTTTCCAAAACTATTTTGACTATTCAAAGTTATCTGCATTTTCATATAAATTTTACCATCAGCTCATCAATTTCTTTTAAAAGTCCATTGATGTTTGATTTTGGATTGCTCTGAATCTATAGATCCATTTGTGGAAAACTGACATGGTAATATTGAGCTGATCCATGAACATGGTGCATTTCTTCATTTATTTAGATTTTCTTTACTTTCTTTTAGTAATACACTACAATGTTCAGTGAAAAGTTGTAGCTATAGTTTGTTGAATTTATCTCTATTTCATGTTTTTTCAAGTTACTGTAAGTGGTACTGATTTTTAAATTTGTTTCTAATTGTTTGTTGCTAGAATATAGAAATATAATTGACTTTCAAATATTGGCCTTGTATTTTATGACCTTGCTAAACTCACTTATTAATCATAGTAGACTTTTATAGATTCCTTAGAATTTTCCAAATATAAGATCATATCCACTATGAAGACATTTTTATTTCTTCTTTTCCTACCTGTTTATTTTTCTATTTCATTTGAAGATATTTGGTTTCTGTGATGGAAGATACATAAAGTCTTTAACATGCCCAACTAATCTAGACATATAAAGACTATCTTGAATTCATTATATTTTTGGTTAACAGTCTAAAAGTCAGAAATGATATCTAGGGATATAAATATAAAGCAATTAAGAAACTCATATTCTAGAACGAGAGATTTAAGAAAACCTAGATTAATCTTTTATGTTTCTTCAAATGCATAACAGAGTGGGGTTTGAGGAAGTATCACTTACCTACTATAAAGCTGACAGGAATTTGAAGGAAGCAATTAATGTACAAAATGCTATTAACTGAAAACAGTAGCCACGCTCAAAGTAAAAGGTAAATGAGAATTTATATTCATTTAAGCCATAAATTCTTTAAACTCATTTGAGAATTACACAGTCAGATCTTTTAGTTGAACAGTTTTCCCCAAGAATGGAGAAGTTTATTTCCTCTGCAAGGCAAGTGTTTAAAATTACTCCGAACACAACTCAGGGAGAGAAAAAGAGAAGATCTGGTTCACTTGCCAACAAGTGAGAAGCTCTGCTATGACTCTAAAGGTGAATGAGGGAGTCTGAAGAAAGACCTTGTGAGAAATTTTAAAGCAGACAATTATTTTTAAAGCCCAAATTGTAAGATTAGAGCATATCATATAACAATAAATTATATAATTATATAATAAATCAAAACTCCAATCGGGCTCCCTGCTCGGCGGGGAGCCTGCTTCTCCCTCTCCCTCTGCCTGTCTCTCTGCCTACTTGTTCTCTCTCTCTATCTCTCTGTCAAATAAATAAATAAAATCTTTATTAAAAAAAAAAAAAAAAACTCCAATATGACGTGCAAGTTTCTTCCTGCCCTCAAAGCATGATCTCTAATTCCAAGTCAGAATTATTTGTGATGCTAAAACTAAAAGGAACAAATACATGTATAATCGCAATTTCAGAGGAAATAAGAACTGTCCCACATTGCATAAGAAACCAGCATTTTAAACCATGAAGGCATAGTTGCTCAATTCACAGCGTGGCTTTCTGAATTGGTCTCTACAATTGAACGGTATTCACTATTTGCCCAATATTAGTTTGTATTCAAAACCACTTTACAGTCTTATGAAATAAAAGTGATTCTAATTGTATAGAAAATAGACAATCCATCTCATGAAGTATACTTTTTAAAGCATTATGTTCAAGTACACGTCTCTTCGTTCAGGCAGCTGTTCGGGGTAGTGTTATAGCACCTAGCTACACAAATCTTGAAAGCCTTGTAATCCGGTGTGATTTATAGTTCATACGTGCATGAGCAGAATGGCATCCTGGTAAG